CCTGCCGCCTCTGCCGCCACTGCCACAGCCGCCATCGCTGTTACATTTTTAAACCCGGACGGAATCGAGTTTAGGCGGCGACACTGGCTGCAAAGGCAATAAACAATCATCGCAGGTCGCGTATCTTTCCGTGCGAAACGGGTTTCGACAAACAATAACAAATCCCTGGCGACCTCGTCCGTTCCGCGTGAACCATGAATCATTGATAAGACGTCTAAATCTGTTGGTCACAAAAATTCTCGTTAAAATGACTATCGGGACGCGGCGATTATTTGACCCGATTACGTGTTGCTCCTTAGCAGAAAAGTTTTCGCCGAATATAGAACGATAGTATTTAACCACGTGTAAAAATTATAATAAATGGATCGAGCGGTGTGGAAATTTTTAAGCGTTTAAGGTTATACACAAACGAAATTATAAAAATGTCCTAAATAATTTCTTATATACATTTTCACATTTAGCGTTTTAATTATGTATTCATTTAATCGAACAAAAGCAAACATTAAAATTAGCATGTTGTTTGAGTGACGAAATCCTACCGTGATGTTTGCATCTTCTAGTGATCAGAGTATGGGCCAATATAAGGTTAGGTCGATAACGAAGATGTTCTTCTTTAACCCCTTAAAGCTCGGTTCATATTTCAACTTTAAATCAGTAAAAATCGTCAACTTCGAACGGAACGTTAAGTAGAAAGTTTATCAAAATTCATAATAAGTTTCATTGTATTTGCATGCATGGAGTAACACTCGGGTTTTCAAAGGGTTAAACGGTAGGGAGCTAAAAAGAAAAGAAAGAGGACCAAAAAATAAAGAAGACTCTCTGTTGGTCAGTGACGGTGATTCGAGACGACCTCCTTCGTCAAACCGAACGACTTAACTTTCTCGAAGGATAACACGTCTGCTCGTTTCCTTTCTCCGGGCACGGACGCGGGAGATGGATTTACGCGGCGCCAATGAGGAAAACGTAAATATACAAGACGCCGCGCATACACACCGGGTGCCCGGCCCGGCAGAGGCCGGCCGGCCGTGAGTGGGTTTCTAGTAAAAAGAAACAGCGAAGTGTCGCGACGTGAATACAGGTCACAACATCGCTGAATAAGCAACCGAGCGTACCCACCGCTGCTCTCCGCGCGTTCAGCAAATTACGTAAGGCCAGAACGGGAGCTCGTTTAAATACCGACACAATCAACGATGAATAAGTAAGTTACGTGCGTGTGGAGTGCGCGCGCGCACACCACACGCACACTGACGACCTGCAACGAAATAAGGGAAATGTGCGCGCGACGACGTTTGTTCCATATTCACGTTAAATTCGGCGAAAGTTACGCAATCTGGTATATACCGATCGACGTCAATGTCCTTCGGGGAATTCTTATCATATTAGCCTCTGAATTATTAATAAAACAGATTTGTAACACACGAAACCAAAGACCGGGTCAAATGAGACCCGTACACAGAGGTTGGACATTTTTTTTATATAAAATAATTAATATTCTCATGCAAAGCGCAAGTGTCCCCTGGGTCACCAGAGACCCAGCCATTGAATGCACTAGTCTCGCGCTATGCGTTCTCCAATATTTCAGTCATTCGAACACTGGTTTAGATTAGTAGGTCGTTAGCATGCTTTATCGCTTCCAACGGAAGCTTGTTAACCGAGTCCACCAAGAACGTCGAACTCTTGAAAAGCTAGACCTACTCGCCGGTTTAAGTGTCTTTTACAGTGAAGTCGCTAGAACACGCAACGATTAATGTTTCAATGTTTTCCGCGGATGAATAATTAGTACGCGCGGTCAATCGATGATTCATACCGCTCGGATCAAGTGTTATAAAAATCATCAATGCGGTGTGCATGCGTAACACATTTTTAAAAGTACACTGTTTGCAATTGATTACCACTGCGGGTTGAATAATAACGAAAGATAAGGATCCATACAGCATTCCCAAAATTCTCATCACGAAAAGGCCATGAAAAGTTTTTCACGGTGATAAAAGAAGCTGCCGGTAACCAACGGAACCATCAACAATGGTAAGAGGGAAACGTGTACTGTATCGAGTTAAAGGATGCGGGCTGCACGAAGATTTATTAACACTAGAACCACCGGATGAGTCAAAATGACGCGTTCCTGATTTCATTTTTTCCAGTCATTCGACAGATAACAGATGCTTTTCTGGAAGAGTACTAAAGAAACTGGTTTGACAATATACAAACTGAATTGCAAACCAACTGAGGTCTCAATAATTGCACTGTTGAAGTTTCTACAGGACAATTTCAAAAGGACGATTTAACTGCTCGGTAGTTCTAGTGTTAAGGAGCAGGGGTCTACGGGCGAGGTTGAGAATCACTGGGCCCAACGGTGTCGCCCGCAAGCACGAAGGACCATCGGTTTTCATGAAGTTTACGTTCGCAAAGGATGACACGTTCGGTGCCGAACGCGGCGCAATAGCTTTCGTGTAAACGTGCCTACGAGTTGCACGCGTACGTCTATTTAAAGAAAATTTTTCCGGCAATCGCACCGGATCGTCGCATGAAAAGAATCGCGCGTTAATTGGCGTATTGTGGAGTAGGCACAGAAGAAGTCGAGCTGTTGGCAAAAGAGAGGCCAGATACAAATGACTGATATTCTAGAAGCGTCCAAATGGCGGTCAACCACATGACACGTACATTTAGCGGAATAATATACGATTTCCATCAGAGCACCATGCTGTACACATCGGAGACTGCTTGGACTGTACCGGCGCTCTCTTCGGAACGTTAAATATTTTCGCTCGCATGATTTATGAAAATGCGAGGGGTGATCGTGCGCGAACTAACACGCGTCACGAGGATACGTGCAACCGCGTGTAACGGGTAAAACGGAAAATCGTTGTAAATTCTGAAAAGTGTTTTCTATTTGCGTAAATAAAGAAAATTTCAAGGCACGGCGCGGAGTGCTGCCATCTAACAATATTTCACAACAATCTTCTACATACTCGAGGGATAATATGTCAGAAAATTCACCCCCCTCTCTCTTGCACGTGCGCTTGACTATACCGAAACGTAAACGGAACTAGGGGATTAGTTTCACGCGAAATTATTCAACGAAGACGTTCTACTCCGAGTAAACGGAAACGATTATAATCTTCGTAAGCGGTGAAATTGAAGATGCCTATGATGATCCATTGCAATTGCATTACAACATCAACATATTGCAATCAACTTGTAAATAATGCGTTGAACATGTCTTGCTCGCGCCGATCCTCACAGGCAAGCACGTCCGATGGAGTGTGAGAAGGAGCGTGGTGTCCATGCGACCATTTTCATCGAAAATGGTTGAAAACGTTACCGAAGGTCAACGTCAAGATACGATTTCACAGTTCACTGCAAGGGAGAAGAGTATAGAAAACAGTTGCCCGGCGGGAGAATGGAGAGTCGAGTGAATTCACGAGTCGAAATTCGGTAGAAGTTTTCGGAGGCACGGGAAACGATGTTAGAGGATATATCAGAGAGAATACGATAATCGGGCCAGCGGCGAGCGAGCGGAGGGCCGAATAAAAAGAAAGGCGCGTGGCTCGTTGCTGGCGCGGCGTCTCCCGCCATATCACACTAGTTAGCATACTCGCACACCGAGTGTCATACAGTCGCATACATAGAGACGTGAAACGGTTAAACGAAGAACTAACGTATGCACCGTACGCTGGTACGCGCACGGACGGAAGGAAGATAGAAACATATACAAATACACAGGCACGAACCCGCGGAATTTTCTCCGGTGCGTGTGTGCACGCATGCACCGTGCACACCAGGGGCCGCACGAGCGACGCACACGGCGTACACTGAGCCTCTCGGCGGCGCGATTCTACGCGAAAGAAAAACTGGAGCCGCGGCGAGGGCCACTCACTAACCTGTCGGAGGCGATTCTCCCTATATTCCTCGGTCCACAGTACTCCTGAGTACTCGAGTATTTTCACCGGCCACACTGCGATCACCAAACTATATTCACTCTCTCACACGGCGTTCTTACGATGTGTCTCTTTCGGGAGTATACGCGCGGTGCCTCAGCTCTGTATTCCGATTTGTACGGACGGTTTTCCCGGCGTCCACGGGTGACTTTGAGCCTCCCGTGGAACGATACTCGCTCGGATACGGGCACTGGGGTCACGCGCGCCCGCCCGACGCCCCAGTTATTCGCGAAAATCCCTCGATTCGACGAAAAACTTGGTCGACAATGCGCGGAACTACGCTCGCGACTGTCTCCCTCACTGGAGGAAAATGGCGGCCCCCGGCCATCCGAGTGACTCGCGCGCGCCACCGATACTCTCCGTCACCGGCCGAATATGCCCGAAGATAACCGATCCTTTCCGATCCGACACTACCGAACGGTCAAATATCGGCAAAATTTTTGTCAAATTTTGAAAAATATTGTATTGAAGTTCCTTTGTCCTCGATCTATTTCTTGTCATCACTTTCAACGATAAATGGAAAGATTTATTGTAATAAATTTGAATTTTTTAGACTCTTGCGCGAGACTAACTGTTCCTTGTACCCTACTGTTATAGGTTTCAAGTGTTTAACATTTGCGATAAATTTACATGTTTTTATATTGCTAAGAACGCATTAAAACCTCACTTTTAATTACTATTTCAAATTGATAAGTGTAGAAATTACATTTAACTGTTGGCGGATAATTGAATCGGAATTATCTTTTTTTTTCCCAGGACAACTTTGCACGTGTGATCCTCGAAGACTCTACATTGTTTACAAGAAGCTGGAAATCATAATGAAAAAATATTTATCAACTCACCTTTTACGAAAGTTCGTCGATGTTTATGAGTAGAGCATGCACGTCATATTTTAAAACATTCAATTCCGCGAACATTTTTAGCGTTTTCTATTCAGCTGTGTTGCACTTGAGTTACTTGCTCAAATTTCGCGATTGGTCGAAGCCAAAAATTAATGCATTTCAGTGACCAATGAAAAGCATCAAAAATCATTGGCAGGTATAAGGTGTAACATAACTGAAATAAAATTGTAGCTCTAAAATCGAATACCGTTACAATATTACGTATTCCTTATCTTTTCTGAGGTATTATATATCATTATTAAATATCTTCCATTTCGTGACAATGACAATTTTTGGTTGGTAACGAATCGTTGAATCACATGATTCAAGCTAAGGATCATCCCTTATTTCTTTCGTTAATGGAGCCATCTAGATTTATATTATAACACTAACGTTTTCATCATGCGTAAACAAACTGCTGATTATCTTTGTTAAAAGAAGTCAACAGCTTTTGCGATCCTTAAAGACAGTCGTGTGTCAAAATCGAGATGGACGACTATAATACATAATTGCAAAGTATATTAGCTACGATATAATAGACGTAATTTTACTCCGATTTTTTAAATACATCTTTATACATAGTTTTGAGGATAACCAATATGTCAGACGTTAAAAGCCTTGAACACCCAACGTTAAAGGTACATAGTTCGCACCGAATTGCGTTTCAAATTTTTTATTTCAAGCAACTATTTACAATTGTTCATAAGTTAGAGTAGGACATAATTATTAATGATACAGAATCATTTTTTTGTATTTCTGTACATAATTTTCAAATTCAATATTGTAGTTTGAGTTAACACAATATTTTTTTGATAGGTTCCTTATGAACTACTTAACAAAAAGTTTCGTTCAGCTCAGAAAACTTTAGATAGAGAAGGTTCGCATGTACTAGCTGCAGCTAATGAGTTATTAAAGAATGATGGAACAGGCGTTCCTGCAGGAGAAATAAGTAGATTATTAGGAGGAGTTGTAGCTAAACTACAGGTTTTGAAGAGAAAAGCAGAAGAGTCTATAGCAGAGGAATTACAAGCAGGAATGGTTTGTAAGAGACGATTGGATCATTTAAAAGAACATGCTAATACAACCCCAAGTGTAGTAAACCAATGGCGACGCCAGAGACTCGATAGAATGTTGATAGAATATTTTCTTCGTAAGGGTTATTATAAAACTGCAACAAAATTAGCAAACAACAGTGAACTTAGAGACCTAACGAACATAGGTATGTAAACTAATATTTATCTTTATTATATGCAAATATTGTTTCTTTTATACTTTTAGATGTTTTTATGGTATCGAGAGAAGTCGAAAAATCTTTAGCAAACCACGAGACAGCAATATGTGTTGGATGGTGCCATGACAATCGGTCTAAATTAAGAAAACTAGGAAGTACCATGGAATTTAATTTACGTGTACAGGAGTTTATAGAGTTAGTGAGACAAGACAGAAGACTTGACGCTGTCAAACATGCCAGGAAATGTTTTGCCAATTATGATGATTATCAATTACAAGAGATTCAGTGTTGCATGGGTCAGTTGGCATTTCCAGCTAATACATCCCTCAGTCCATATAAAGATTTGTTAGATGAAAAAAGGTATGTGTATCTTCTACTCATTTTTATATAGAATTCCATTTAGAGTTTTCATGATTTACATTTGCATTTTAATTATAAATATATTACAAAATAATCTTTCAATAATACTGTAACATTTGTAGATGGGATAGACTGATAGAGCAGTTTAGACATGAAAATTATAGACTTTTCCAATTAGCGAGTCAGAGTGTTTTTACGGTAGCTCTACAAGCAGGATTATCAGCATTGAAAACACCTCAGTGCTATAGTGCAAATAAAGAAGGCAGAAATCCAAATTGTCCCGTGTGCAACAAAGCTCTTAATGAATTAGCTGCTCCATTGCCTTTCGCTCATTGTTCACAGTCTAGACTTGTTTGCAGTATTAGTGGTAAACCATTAAATGAGTACAACCAACCTATGATGATGCCGAATGGATATGTATATGGAGAACAAGTAAGTAGAAATGTTCAATTTAACAGTGAAAAAACTGTCTGATTACACGTTGATAAATAATTCATTATTGTAGGCATTAGAAAAAATGGCTCAAGAGAACAATGGTACTGTGATTTGTCCGAAAACCAAAGAAGTGTATCCGTACAAAAGGATAGAAAAAGTTTATGTTATGTAAAGTTTATTGAATCAGACAACTTGTACTATACACAGTGCATCATTCTTTTGTTCTAATTCTGAATGTTTACTGTTTAATACTGTATACCAATATTAACAAAGGGAATAACATTTATTTTTAAGGAAATATTTCATTGTGAATTTTATTTGTGATTACCTAGTAGAATGTAATAAGAAATGATACGAACAGATCATGTATTATGAATTATATTCTTTTTTTTCGATATTAAACACTGTGTAGATTATCGCAATATAATTGAGTCATTAAGCACGAAATCAAACTTGTCCTTATGCATTTATTTAACATCATTTCTACAATAAATTGAATGGTTAAAACAATTCCGTAAATCTACGCTTTAAGACTTATCTGTAATCGTGAACTTTGTAAGTATTTTATAATACTTTACATTTATATTTATTCTATGCCTGTCCAAATATTTCAACATAATAATGGTAAGATTTATATATCAACATTACAGTAACCCGGTTACTATATGTTGCCATATCATCTATTGTAATACCATTTTTATGTAGAAACAGATGTACTGTTTGAATTCTCTTTTTATAATCAATAACTCCAGTGTATTTCAATTAAAAATTCCTAATCTATATAATATGATATGCATTAAGCAATTTTTGACAAAACGCGTCCACGACTGAATCAATATAAAAATATTCCTTCTATGCTTTCTATCAGCTTTAACTTCAATGATGTTTCATTCAAGGATCTCATTGAATTTCATTTATAATTTATTGTCTGAATTGCTTTATGCAGAGGATTGTCCTTCTAGGAATTCGGATTCTATGTTTTAGAATAAAATTTGTGGTCAACATGGGATACAACACTTGAGGTAATTTAAGTCTTTTTTCCATCAGCAAGATGTGTAGATGTTCATAAGTATACGATTAAGATAACAAATTTTAATCGTGTATAATTTGAATGAGTGTAAGAGTATTGGTTATAAGTATATATAAGTTGATAGAATTAGATGACAAACAGCATTATAAATAGTGAAACATTATTGCTTATAAGTTACAATATATATAATAAAAATGCAAATTTATAATCTTCACATGTTATAACATGTGGAAGCACTTAGATAATATTTACAAATTCTGATAATTGTACTTGAACGGAAGTTCATATTCAATGATGTATACTTTTATTTGATCTCTTTTCTAATCAAAATAATTTACAATACTCAATGATCAAAATGATTGAAAAGGACTTCCAATTTAAGTCAATTTTGAGGAATTTCTTATTATTTAAATAAAAATTCATGCAAACTGAGTATAATTAAATAAATAAAATAACAAAATAGTATACACCATTTAGAAATAATTTGAACAATAATGTTAAATCATTCAACATAAAATATATATTGTTTCACATTTTTTACTCATGAATTAAGTAGTCATGTGTGTTAACAGATACAATAGACCTTGTAAATGTTCAAAAGTTTTGTAGCGCAGTTTCATTGAGCTTGTGTTAACATACCATACAATTTAAGTCGTGATGTCACTGTTCACTTATACATACTGTCTTAATCAGTTTTTAATGCACAGATTAAAGAGAAGTACTTAGTAAGCATATAGCATGATATATTACTTTTTATATGTTTACTACATGCAAAAAAAACAAAGGAGATTACAGAAATATATAAAATAATATTTTTATTAAATAAAAAAGAGAGTTTATTGTCATGATCTATGTCAAGTGAGATTGTTCCTTGATCACTTAGTATTTATAAATTGCTTCAAGATATAAGCATTAATTCTTCAGTGATTATACAATTGTAAATATCAATTATAAACACTACAAACAAAAGTAAATACAAAAAGTAATACAACTAACATATTAATAACAATAATATAGAAAGTATACTCTACATTAACGTTTGTAAAAGTAATGTATCTTGTTGATTATTAAAAAATAAGGCACAGCAACATAAATTATTATAAAATTAGGTATCAAATATTAAAATTGTTAATTCCTCTGAGCAAAAGCTGCACGGACATTAGTCAAAAAATATCCTGATATGTTTGTTAAATGCATGTGTGAGAATATCAGAACATTGGAAATATTTCGAGTGAATTAGAGCAGTTATTAAATATTTGACAATGAAACAAACGATGCATCCATGCATCTGTGATATAAATGATATGCAGTTTAGTTCTGAATTGATTGTATTGTTAGTACAAAAAAAGTAACAAAGTAGTCTTATCTTAAATTTGGTCTATGCAAGTAACAATCATTAAATATACAAATCTTTTATGTGCTTATTTTAGCGGCTTCGAATCAACTTATATATGTGAAAAACCTAGTAACGTGTGATTAGTAAGGCTTATTGGTCCAATTCTAGGTAGTAGTAATAGTTTCATTGGAGTGATGATTAAACATTAAAATCATTTACGTGATATAATGATTTCTGCTTCCTTGTTTTATATCTTAAAACAAAACACAGTACAATTCGAGTTCGATAAATATCAGGTAATTTTTACATCTCTCGTTCAACACTGATACTTTCTAACTTCCTCTCTACGGTCATAAACAAGATAATTTTCTACTAATTCAAATATGAATCAATCAGTATCATATACATTTCATTGAACGAAATTTTTGCAATTAAATATAACACTTATTTTCAATTTCATCTACTGTAATAGCAGAACCTATAGAAATCAAATTTTAAAAAATATAAATCGTACATTAAAATTTGTTTAAATTATGTCAATAAATCTGATTTCATCAAGTTATTACTTTTCCGTCATTTTGATTTTCCTACGTAAGAAATGTTTTTAAAACTGAATCACTGTTTTGTAATCAAATAATACAAGTATTAAAAAAATAAATTTGCTACCAAATTAGGCATCAGCATACAAAACAATAATCCACTAACAATTCCTGTAATTAATGACGCTGCACCGAACATGCCAGCTGTTGAAGAGTATTTCGAATCTACCATTCTGAAATTATAATGTTAAATTATGAATTTTTGATCAAATTAATGAAATGTTTTTTTATATCATGAAAATTAAGAGTTTCACCTGGGACAGTACATCATGGATAACGATGAATAATAACCACTGCTTATACCCATTGTTACAGCAATTAAGAAATAAACCCAGTCATTATTAATATATACTGGTAATAGTCTTGTATAATCTTTCGGTCTATAGTTGCACATTAAAAATAGTGGTATGTACAAAACACGTAAAACAACTGGGATTACCAAATATTTTTTACTAGGCTGTAGAGAGAAAAAAAAATATTAGATAATTACTATAGGTAGTTAGTAATTACAAATGTTAAGAATGAAAAAACTTACCCACTGATATAAAGATGCGGCACAACTACCAATCAGAGCCGTAATATTGAATGTAAGGAAACACATAACAGAACTATAGTACTCTGGTGGGACTATAAAATTGGGGTCCGATGGTTGTATGAAAGTTTGCACAGAAGGAAACAAAGAGAGAGTTACGAAGAATACAAAAAATGTGTTGAAACATTGAGGAAAACACTGTTTAAATATTTTCCAATATGGTAGTCTATCATGTTTTGTTCTTGCCTTATTTTCCAATTGTCTCTTATTTAATCCTTTCTGATGTAATAATTCATTATATCGATAAAACCTCTACAAATAGAAAAAAATTAATAATCGAAACAATTAAAAATTGAAAATAAAATAAATTTCTTGAAGACACTATAAATCTTACATTTATCGGAAGTGCAAAGTAAGTGTCAAAGCATGCCAAAAGAACAAAGAGAGCAGTTATAAAGTAGTAAATTGCAGCTGTTCGAGCATTTGGTGCCATATATTGAGCAATAACGTTAATAATGGCTGTAAATGTTCCACTTAAATTCTGAAAAAAACAATAAGAGAGTAATCTATGTATGTAAGAACATGTTATATAATGTTTTTGTCAAGATATTCTGGAAGGTGGTGTTTACCGTGCCTAAGATAACAGCTCCAGTATATTTCGCGGGTAACTTTGCAACCATACCAAATACAGAGTTTTGGTAAATTCCATTAGCAGCTGTAAAAAAGTTTTAAATGCACTTTAGAATAAACTTGAATAAGATGAAATGATAAAATAGAGCAGTTTGTACATTAAATTACTACTTTTATTGTATAGAAAAATTTAAAAACTTATTTCCTAAAACTTATTAGAAAATAAAATATTTTACGCCTTACTGTTTAATGTAACAACAGAAGCCATGGTGACCCAAAAAAAAACTCCAGGCCAACTAGAACTATCGGTCATTGCCAAAATAACAGTACATACAAATATCAAAACCTGCATGAAGATGCTCCATACTATACGCGTTGTCAAATTCCCGCTAAAACAATTCATTTGAAAATTGTGAAGAAATTGTAAAAAAAACTATAAACAGAGTATATTAAATCACTAATAGACATACCCAAATTGTAGAAATATATTTAACCAATTAAAGAATAGATTTGGTATTTGCGATGCAAATCCTACGTATGGAAGGAAATTTGTGGCATAGATGGTTTTAATCCCTGTATAATCCTTAGATAATTTGTAGTCAATAAAATACTGAAAAGTAATCGATTTAACTATAAATATTATAATCCCCATATTAAAAAAATTAAACAATTCATAAATATCTTTGTAATTCTTACACTTCTTGCTGTTATGAACATATTCCATGGCATCAAGGCACCAACTCCATGAAGTACCATTATAAGGAATACAATACTTAATCTAAATATAAAAATATGTAGAATAATATGTTTGCAAATATCACATATGTACAGTATAAAAAAAAGACACAGAATTTTAAATCATATTTTGAAATCAGCCATTTACCTGATCGCAGTATGTTTAGTGTTAAGCATAGAATTGAATTTACCTATCTTTGGGAGGATTTAATTCAAGATCCGCTTGATCCATTGTAACTCCTTTAAAATTCAATTCATCATCGGGCCTGCCAGTGCCTTCCCATCCAGGGGAGAGACGAACAGGTTCGGTACCTACGATGAAAGGTTTAATTCTTTACTAAAGTTTGTACAATACACGTATCAATTTAATACTGTAGTAGTTAGAGCTCTTAACAACACTTCCATGATGCACCAATTTAAAGCAATTTATTAATTTAAAGACGATTCGAACACTCAATACAAGTACAATAGACATACTTTACATTAGATTCTCATCCTACATTTACATAACATAAAAGTAAAAAATACATTTTTAAACATTCAGCTTAGACAACACAACAAACATATTGCTTAGACATTAAAAGAAATGAAGCATTAATTACCGGTTGGAATGTGAACTCTAAAAGTATTATAGGAAGGTTTAATGCAACCTGTGGAGGAGACATTCATACAAGTTTATTCCAGTTGTTTTCCATTTGGCTCTAAACTATATTCTTGTATAACATACATGATATTACACTGTAAGCTTGTAACATAATATGATAATACTAAATAAAAATAAATATTAAATAATTAAATATACTGTAATACAAGGTCTATATAAAATTATAATTTTTATTAGTCAATGAACAAAAATAATAGTGTTAAAAAATATTTCAAAGTAACACAAATATGAATGTTTCACCTTTTGATAAAACCTACATATATTAACTTCTCAGTTACATTTGTGTCAGCAGAATTAGATTTCTGTTTGAAATAAGATACTTGAATACGTGTGTAACGGATAGAATTTTTCAGTAAAGCATTTTAATAAAAAGTTACCCATACTGAAAAATATATATTCACTTGTATCTCAATTGAAAAAAAATTTACATTTTACTAAAAAGAAATCTTTTAATTCAACCATAATACTTCTTTAATCTATACATAGATAAAAGTAAAGTACTTAAGATTAAAAGAAACTTAAGATATCTTTCATAATCAAACGCAAATATAATTAAGAAAATCAATTATTTTTATCACAGGTTCTTGATAAATGCTTCTATTGATTACAGAATGAAAAGACACACATAACAGGTATGAGTTAATCAACTCTAATATCCTTTTTTAAAAAAGAATATCTGAATATTTCTATTTTCGCAAATGATACTTAACATTTCATAATAAATGTAAACTCAACACAGTTCTGTGCAAAATAAAGCTGACTGAAACACAAATCAATGTTGTACACTGAAATTCTTGAGGACTATGGTCC